CCCTTCTTTAGTCTAAATTTTGTTTTTGTCAGGTCCCGGTAGCCGCCATTTTCGACGGAGAAGTCGGTGACCCAGGGGAGAATTGCACTGGCCAAAGGATCACCGGCTTGCCTTCCAGCCAGGCGATTGATAAACATGAGATAGTCATAATTGGAAACCTAAGAGGGATCGAATGAGGAAAACGTGTGGAAATCCCTGAAGTCACATTAACTTCTCTAGAAATATAAAAAGTGGTAATTGGAAGATGTCACTGCGGATGACACATGACGGGTTCTCGAGCAAGTCAAGTCAACGCTAAAAGAGCAAAATCACTCAAAACTAATTTTAAAAAACGCAGAATAACTCAGTTAGCAGCCAAACATATATATATTGACAAGAAGTCCGTGAAGAGCGCGCCTGGGTTTCTAGAACATGACCTAACCTAATAATTAGAAGTTGCTCCTTTAGAAATGTATGCCTGAAAGTAGGGCTTAGAACCAAAATATCAAAGGCCAGCCAGAGCTCTGTGTTCGCTTTCTCGGATTTCAACAGCGGTTTCCCGCGAATTGAGGCAAACGTTTGCATCCCAGGTATGTGTATAGATAAAGGAGAAGGCGTTTCGACCATCAGCAACAGGACAGGCCGAGAATTGCTTGGAGCCTGGTTGAGAACTCAGTCAATCGATTTATCGATCTGGCGCCGGCATACATCGCCCTACGCAGGCATATCCGGACTGACGGCACCGGTGGTTGATTGTTCCCCCTTCCCCTATATAACGGTTGATTAGCCCCTACTTGTTTTTCGTTGACGCTTTATTCTCTGCCGATGGACTTCAGTAAGAGTCCAAAAGCTCAGACGAATAAAATTACGATTCCGGTGATCAAAATGCCTTCTTCTTTTCTACCTTCAACAGTTTCACTTAGTTGTTTCGATGGCGAATATTAACAATGGTAGATTTGCGTTTACGGATCAATCCCAAGACTCTCTCTTCCCCCAATGTCTTTTGACTCAACCTCGAGCCCCGCCGACAGCCACTCCGCGGCTACCATATTACAGGCAGAAAAACATGGCCGGGAAAGACTACGAAGACTTAAATTGCGGTTTCTGGCTTATTAGCCCTCATCAGCCAGCCATACTGAACCCTAGGTGTTGCAACACCTGAAGGTCGAACACGCGATCTGTTGGTTAAAAGTCCATCATCCTAACTATGGAGCCATGGGCTTGTTGTTCTGACGGTTGCGATATTTTCTTGGTGATGATATTTTTGCCAATGAAGTGCCCCCCCCCTGCCTTCGAAGTTAATGTAAAGAGCGGGACACAGATAGCTCCAGTGGTACGTAGCCGCCGGGCATGGCGTATCTACCTGTGCTTCCTGCTTAATTACATTAAGAAATAGACTGAAGTACTGTCCTATGTAGCAGATTTAAAAAACGACAAACCTAATGTATCGCATAGAAAAATATAATGTATTTGGCTATAGAAGTCAGATTTTCCGTCGCCTTGACTCACCTTATTCAGGACCCAGTCCAGCGACACCTGGGAAAAGTTACTGAAAGTTGGCGCGTAGGCAAGTTCGGTGGATGCCTGTGGAAAAAGAACATTCTCATTGACAGCGAATGCCCTTAGTGCATCAATATCGGGCGGACCAAGCTGGACATGAAAGTCTCCATCGATGTAGACATTTGTGAGGTCTAATCCTAAGTGACTAACTTGATTGACATGGAGCTGTTCGAGTTTACAAATAATCTAGAAGTCTGTAAAGGGGCGGGGAGTAGGAATGATCTTACCTGGTACACTATAAATAAAAAAATAAACTCATCACGAAGGATCCCTGGACTGAACCGAAGTACGTTAAACAGAGACTGGCCCTTCAGCTGACATGTTGCTTCGCTATCTGCAAACTGGAAGTCTGAAAAGGCCTTTGATCCAGCGACAGATTGTGCAAATAACGAGAGGTTTTTTTCAGCCAAATCAGAGGCATGCTAAAATGTTGCATTGTACAAAAAGAAAGCAAAATATACAATCAGATTGCAGCCCTCGAGTTTCCTACTTAGGCCTGGTGTTCTGGCAAACTGATGAAAGGCGGATGACCAACAGGACTTCAGCTCATCAATTTGGAGACTGGATAAAGTTTCAGATAACAGGCCTCCTCCGGGATTCGTTACCGGTGAGCGTTGAAGTCTGTCACAGGGTTTAGGCGAATAAGAAAACGACAGCTCCTACAATTTTACGTCCGGAGAAATCGGTGCAAATCTCCATTTCAAGCGCGGGCCTCCGTCTTCGGTCATTTCACAGCATCATTTGCTTGGTCTAAAATGAGAATCACACTGATGAAAGGGCGAACACGCAAGTAATATTGTTCTCAGCCTTGAAATTATATTTATGAAAGTATGACTTGACAAGTTTTCGATGGTTCTGTATGGATTGAGGATATTTGATGATACATCCTTGCAAGTGAATAAGAAGAGTCAATACAAGCGAACATACGAGTCCCAGGAAATAATTTAAAGAAATATTCCATCGCTGGGACAACACTTTTATTCGCCTGACGTTTCAACATCGGTCGCGGATTCTTCATCAGAGACATCAGAAGCGGGTAACACATGCACAGGTGGTTCCGGTATTTATAAGGGAGAGAGCAAGTCGCCACTTGGGGAACGCACAAGCAACCGCGTCGTCTTACGCCAACACCGGAGAACCAGAAGGCCGAGTATTCATCACGTTCAGTTACACCGCGCGTGATGCAGATCAGGGTCCGCATGCCGGTAATCAAGCAATCAACACGGAATTATCGTTAATTGTCATAAGTATGCTACAAATACTGCAACCTCTTGTGCATGTGTAACCTGCTTCTGCTACTGCTTTCTGCTCATGTCTCATGAAAAATCCGCGACGAATGTCGAAACGTCAGGAGAACAAAAGTGTTGTCCCAGCGATCGATTCTTCTTCTCGATAATAGGAGTCCAACATTCAGTAGTTTGGAGACCCAAACAGACATCATAAACTCTACCAAACAACTCTGATAAATGAACTGGAACGTTTGCATAAAACAATCCTGTCCGAGAACAAGTTTGCTGGCATTCATCTAGGAAGATCAACTGTCGTTGAAAATGCATGATCACAAAACCGGAACTAGACTATATGACAAAGAATTCTAGTTTACATGCCCTAGCACAAACCTGGAATTTTGTTGCACGGAATCGGTTGAGATGGCGATCAACCGTACAGAATGAAAATTAAATGGCTGATACTAATCGACGGCAGGGATGGACAAAAAGTACAGTCACACGTGTCCTCAACTCGCCTGACTTATTAACCGTCACCAGCTAACTCAAGGTGTTGCAACACCTGACGCTGGAACACGCGATCCGCTGGTTAAAAGTCCAACACCCTAATCACTGAGCCACGAGTTCGGTGTCCTGTTAATTTCGATATTTTGTTGATAATGGCTGGTCAGGACAGTCCGACCGTCGATTTCGGCGACATCCACAGCGTGCTAGTGCAGAGACAGTGACCTACGCGTGGATTCGTTTTAAGTAATAGTAAACTTGCGTTGCATACAATACTCAGTACTTTGGTGACTCAAACAGACATCATAAATATTGCTAAATATAAGTGGAAACCCTGATTAATGAATTGGAACTTTTTGCATAAGACAATGGTGTCCGAAATTCGATCTTTTTGAAGGGATTGGGTTACTTTGGCGCGGATCCCGGATGTGAATCCTGTGTCAGGGAAGACGGTCAGTGTCCCCTTTCGCATTACCGCTGAAAGTTGAGCCTGCCTTCGTTCGCTGTTCGCCGCACAAATCGTCTACCGCCACCATACCAACGGTTACTGACAGCTCTGCACTCTCACCAAAGTCCTAACCGATGTGGTGGGACCACTCCTACTCCAGATGGATCGAATGCAGGACGGCAGGCAAGTGTCCTCACGGCTAACACAGGTTTAGGGATCATATTGGCCTTCCGAGACACCTTCGTCCCTAATTTAGTGGTGACAGCATGGACACTACAGCAATTCAACATGACAGCCCTGCGGCTTCCGCCCGGCGAACCCGATTCACAAATGAAGCGATGACAAGGACTGAAAGCGTAAATCCATTGACAAAAGGTAGCGTAGGGACTCTTGTAGTATGGGAAGACTAAAAATATTAATTTTGTGGGTGCGGCAGTTAACGGAATCTGTGGAAAGTATTGCGAAAACTTGCGTTTCACTCGTATGTTAGTGTATTAATCAAACGAGGTGTCCAAACAGACCAGGCGATTTGAAAGATACTAATGTAACGCATCAAAAAGTTGATAGATCTGTTTGAATGAAATAAGGTTACTTTGGCAGGAGTTGCATATTCGAGTGGCGTGGTCATTTTTCAGCGAAGATGCCTAGTGCTTCCTTCAGTCTTAGCACTGAAATCTTCCCTTGCTTGCGCTCGCCGCTCATATCATCTACCTTCAAGCACACTCCATGACCCTTCCCCGCAGTTATCGACAGCTGACATGACCGGACCACTCCCATTCCAGACAGATCGTTTGTACATGCACCTCGATACTCCCCTATATCAGTACAAGTTGTATTTGTGACGCTATCGATTTATTTACCAAACATAGATTCCGTACACTTTGAACCGCTTTTCTTAACACTTTGACTGCGACGTGCGCCATGTGTGGTACACGCCCGCATATGGCGCACGTCGAAGTCAAAATGTTAATATATTCATACATGCGTACTTGATGTGGTGTTCAATGATTTTTTCAGCGGTTGCATAACCGGAAAGCTATCCAAGATGATATATTCAAGCGTGTGGGCTACCGTCGACGTCACCGGCAGCTACACTGATAGGGCAGAAAACAAGTAATCCAAGGCTATTTGCTAAAGAAGGACGCGTTTGGTAAAACGGTGGGCGGCAGGAAAACTGAACCTTAACCCCTCACTAACACTAATTTTTAACCTACTTATAAAAATAATCTTAACCCTGACATTAAACCCAGCCCTAATTCCAACCCTAGAAGCAAAGTAGGCACGCCAACCCTAAACCCTAGACGTAACCCTAAACGCCTCACCAGGGATAAACCTACCTACCTAGATTAAATAAGTACATATGCTGTAGTAATAGAAACATTGGGTTCGCATATGCCTTGATTGCCTACGTGGTGAAACTGATTCAAGGGTCCCTGCAGCTCACACAGTCTAAAGTACGACAAGATCGGTGAAGCGTCCAATGTAGCAGTTGGGGTTCCTGAGCCCGCGTACGCTGCGCCCAAATACCTATTGTCTCGTTTTAAGGCCTAGTGCAAATGTCCGTTGGGTCCGTCACATATGGTCGGCTTCCAATTAGCCTCCGAATCGCATTTAGTTTCTGAACCTAAAGACAAGTTCAAAAGCAACTGTCGGACTCCCTTTTGCGCCCAACCTAACAACGTTTTCCTTACAAACGCTAAAAAGTAGTAGCAATGGTTGGCGTATATTATAGCGGATAAACTACCACGGTGTTTGTGCAGTAGGGATGAACTCCCTCACGCGGTTCGACTCGACTAAAAAGCAAATTAATTGCCGAAATTGGTTTTTGTCTATTATATTTTACGTAGCGTGGATAACAATGAGAAAAGGATGCAGTAAAAGGGCATCTTATACCAGCTAGTATTGCCTGTAAAGTGAATATCTTTGTGCAAACGGACAGATGCGAACTGCGGGTTTGTGTATTATTTCCGATGTTCTTCGGATGGCATCTACTTTGTGAATAAACTAATTAAACTAGAATGTCAGGAGAGCAGAAGCCTAAGGAGTACGTTTCACATAATAGTTTGGGATGTTCTGTAAGTAGTTATTCGGACTTTATTTTATAATATAGCATAAAGACGTATAAATGCATCCTTTTGTAATCTTCATGTAAATATTTATAGAGAAAACGGAAGAAGATGACAAAGATGTATATGGTAGATAAGACAAAACTGAATTTGCAAGCAGTCCGAAATTTGTATAAAACCGCATAAACATTGCTTGGAGTACAGGCCATTAGTTTAAATGTACGAAAATGCCTTAAGCGACGTTCCCACAAACTGCTGTGAAAGCCTCGAAGATTTCTCGCCATGAATACAAGGATAAAGTCGCAATTAAATAGAACTGGTGTCAAATTGCAGGTTACATTTTAACCGATGTCTAAAAACAGATTTCTTGAGCAGCCACAAACCCGTGCATATTGTTGAATATGCCTAACTAGGCTTAGGGTTCAAATATTCATTACATCCAGCAATGTATTGGCATTTTACGTCCAGCACTCGACGGGTGAGTGGGAACGCACTAAAACTGCTAGAATAACTTTGTGATGTTGTGTCATGTGGTCTATAATAAGAGAATCAAGAGCACGACTATAATTTCCCCCAATCATTCATGGAAAAAATGTCACAAACCTACACTCTTCACTAGCTTCCGCAAAGAGCCCAGCTTTCTGGATCGCGCATTAACTTGTTGCTTTTTGGGAGGTTAAAACAACTATTAGTTTATGATACTCCAGAGTTCACGACATAAGTTGTGAAAACTCCTCTACTACAGCGCGATGTAAATAGCTCGCTTACTTCATAACTAGTCTCAGATGACCGTTATTTTATCAGTGATGACCTCTTCACGTACTGGGTAGTTCACACTTAGGCTAACATGAAGGCGCGGTAGGTGAGGTTTTTATTGAGAAATCATTGTGTTGCCCAGTAACTTCGAGATAAGGAATGCTTCTGAGGTTTGGTTTTGTCTGTTATAACGATCTGAAAACCCGCCAATTC